AGCCCCTCAGGTCCTAATGCTGAGCCACGGGGTGAAGCAGCCTGGGAGCCAACAGGATCTGCACGTGCTGCAGTGGAAGAGATGGTGAGTTCTGGTGGTGAGTCCCCTTGGCACCACTCCGAACTTCACCCAATCACAGACCAACCATGCATCCACCCATCAGCCCCATGCCAGGAACCTGGACCCACGTCCGCACCTCCACGACATCAAAACCGAAGGGAACAATCTCGTTTTTCTCTCCTCCTTGCACGCTAAATGATTTTCAGCTCTTTCTTTTCCCCTTTTCCCCTGGAGAATCACAGCAGACAAATGACAAATCACCCCTCATCCACCTGAACTGCTAAATCTCTCAGTAATCCCTCCTCAGCACAGCTCTGGTGCTGCAACAGCCTTCCTTGGTACCATTAATCAGCGAGTTTGGCTCCCGGGTGCCTCTTGGTACGTGCCTCCACGAGGAGATCCTCTCATTTATAAAACTTGGGGACCTCCCACAGCTCCCCATTCCCCACGACCTCGTCCAGAGGGTCAGCGCACAGAGTAAACCGGTTGAGAGGGAAGGTCCTAATATTTATATGGGAAGCCATTAGCAGGCAAGGTCTTATCTGCCTCCTGTTTTGAAGCTGGGGCTGAGGGTGATGGCAGGGCTATGGGCAGTGCTGGAGCTGCCTCAGAAATGCCCTGACGTGCTGCCATCCACCCCTGGGGATGGGTTACAGCAGAGGGGAGAGAATGTTGTGTGCAGAAAAAATGAGAGAAGCACAGAACGGCCTGGGTTGCAAAGCAGCACAAGACTCATCAGTTCCAACCCCTGCTGTGTGCAGGTCGTCAACCAGCAGCCCAGGCTGCCCAGAGAACCCATGGGGTGCCATAGGGATCTGTAGGGACCCATAATCTTAGCATCATCATAGAATTCTAGAATGGCCTGGGTTGCAAAGGCCCACAATGCCCATCAGTTCCAACCCCCTGCTGTAGGCAGGATCACCAACCAGCAGCCCAGGCTGCCCAGAGCCACATCCAGCCTGGCCTCGAATGCCTGCAGGGCTGGGGCATCCACAGCCTCCTGTTCCAGCGCCTCACCACCCTCTGAGTGAAAAATTCCCTCTTAAAATGCAGAGAGGGAATAAATAAAGAGCTCAGTTCCCCGCCTGCCGGGTTTGAAAGCCACACAGAAAATCCCAAATCTACCCTGATACCTCCTCACACAGTGCACTGTGTGTGACAGCGCCCAGCAGGAGGATGGAGCGGTCCTCTGGGGTCTTAAAACACCTCGACCTACAGAATAATCATCGTCCTGTGGGTTCCCCTGAGCCTGCCCCACACATTGAGTGTAGCTTTGAGCACAGAGGTGGGCAAATCTTCTCTCCAATGGGAAAGATCCTGGTAGGTCTTTGCATCGGGTGTATGGAAAGGTCGCAAAGAGGAAAATGAAGACGGAGTGGGGATGCAGCAGTGGTGAGGTTCCTGCAGGACCATCCGTATGAGGTGGTGGCTTGCTGGGGACTGGGAGGCATGCAGGTGCTGGGCAGGCAGGATGTCTACAGCACAGCTCTATCACACACTCGTTTCCTTAGGAAAAGTGGCAAAAAGGCAAACCAGAACCAAAAGTAGAGAATGAGGCAGCGGGGTTTCAATTTCCCTGATACTGCACTCATTAAACTCAGCTCATCGAAAAGAACCCTCTGCTCCTGGGCTGCAGTGCAGCTGTGGATGTAACTTCATAATGTCCTTTTTTCATGTCTGTGTCCCTCATACGGTGCTGGGAACCCAGGTGGGGCTGGGAACGGGAACAGAAGCTCAGCCATAATGAAACTCATTGGGAGCAGCAGTTGGTTGGCACTGCGTTACCTGCAGCATCCAGCAGTTCTGGGTGTTCTGTAGTTGTTGGGTATGGACTGAAGTGGGGGCAGAGGAAGCTGCTGCACCTCCCTAAGCCCTAACAAAGCTCACTGTCATCGTCCTTAAGGTCAAAAGGCGACATCCAGGCATAGGCTGGAAAAGTCTGAGAGAGGGGAAAAAACTGAGCTCCCCATCCAGGTCACCACCCTGAGCCAAGAGAATTCCCAGAGCCAGGAGCGTGGCTGCTCCCAGTCCTCTCTCCAAGCCCAGCATAGGATGGTTCCATATAGAACAGAAGAAACACGTTTTCTAAACCAGGAAGCTGCCCCTTAGCAGCATTCACGTGTGTGTACACATAAGGCTGGTCCTCTTGCACCCGTGAGAGATGTTCCTGTCATCCAGCTTCCTTTTCTGCTTAAGCATTCAGGTCTGTCTGCTTGGATTGCTTGCACCAAAACGGATTTCTGAGGTGTCACCGCTTGCAGTCGCTGAAATTCTACACTGACACCATCATGTGCTGATTACTAAATGCTGAGAAATGTAGGATCTTGGCTCTTGACCTGGGAAAGACACTCGATGATTGCAAGGAACTGGCTGGCTGGGGACAGTTGTGGGGGCAGCTCGCCACATGTTTGGCTGCTACTGGACCAGGGGAGGTGGTGTGAAGTGTCAGAGGGAAGGCAGCTTTCTGCCTCATATACAGATTCCCATTTGCTGGGTGAGCCAAGTTGAATGCCAGCCCACGGCTGCGATTAAGCAGGGCTCCCTGCCGCTTTCTGTGGGGCTGGAGTGGGGCTGCATGGCCCAAGCACTCAGCCCCACGCCAGAGGTGTTGCTCTCTAGGAGGAGTTGTGGTGCCAGGGAGTGCACAGAACTGGTGATCCAATAAAGACTGAGGGAAACCATGGGGCAGACTGAGAGGAGACAGTGGTGGCGTGGTTTGGTCAGGGAGGGAGGATGCTAATGGGTGAAGGATTGGGTGCTGCCAACCTCATCGGACTCTGCCATGAAAGTGCTCGGGATCAGGCATAGCTAAATCCATTCCCAGCGCCACGTCTTTCCAATCTGTTGTTACCAGGCTGTGCCATGAGCTTGGTTTAACCTAGAGGATCAGAAACCCTCAGCTGGATGCCAACCAGAGCGTGGGATTATGTGGCGAGGCGCAAACAACCCGACCGGCGTCACGGGCCCTATTTTACCTTTGGGGTGAAGTCCCTCCCTGATTCTCCTCCCTGACATTGGAAACTCACATGAGAAATGAGAATTGCTTCTTTAGGTGATGCTTCTTTAGGTCTGCTCAGGTAAAAAAGCTGAGGGTGTTGGAGGACAGCACCAAGCCATCGTGTTTGAGCAGGAGCAATCCATGCTACCTGCTGAGGCTCAGCCGCGTGTTTGGGACTACCAAGCTGGTATTTGCCTCTCTCACATCCTGTAACATCTTTGTTCCTGGAAAACCTTGATCATCTCTCTGCAGATGATCCGGGAGTGGCCAGGAACAGCAGCTGTGAGAGCCCCAGGCTGAGCTTCCCGGTGAGATTTCGTGACAGAGCTCAGCATTCCTCCAGCTGCTTTGCTCTGCTCTTACAATTCACAGTTGTCCCAAGCAGAAAGCAGCAAGGAAACGCAGCGTTGTTCCCTGGTAGATTCCGCAGAAGCTTTCCGACGGAATTGGAAATGCACAGAGACCTTTCCACAGTTACTTTTAATGCAGACATCAAACGTCTCAATGTGCCTCGGTTCCAGGAGACGCACATTGCCAGCGGGGCTGTGGGACACAGCGCTGTTCTCCTGGAGTCTCCGTCTTGGGACAAGGCGTCTGGTTAGAGGAACACCTCCAGGAGCTCACGTCTCTGCTATAGCCCTGGGCTCAGGGCTTGCCCTCGCATGCTATGTTGTGCAATAAGGATGTTGCTGTGCTGGCACTCAGGGTTCAGCCCTCTCATCTTCCTCTGCTCACCGAGGTGAATGAACACTCAGCCCTTGAAGCCCTGCAATCACTTTGTCAGCAAACGCAGCGAGCAGTGAGCTTCTCCTAAGAGCTCAGCCTTAATTTTTGTCTTAAAATTCTGGGGATTCCAAACCTATTCATCACACAGCAATAAATCCTCGTGTTCGGTCCTGCCAAGTCTGTTACCTGAACGGCTTCTTTGTTCAAGCCGTGTCACCACTCACATCACTTTCTGAGTGATCTGTCACCTCATGTCACCTGTGCCACTCAGAACAATTCTCAATTCACAGCTTTATGATTTGTTTTTTGTGCTTTCCCTGCATGTGCTCATTTGTTTAATTTATATCAGTCACCCCTCCCAGCTGACGTTCCTTGTGGTCCTGCTTTTCAGGAGTACAGAAGTGTTGAATTTTCTACCTGCCTGAAGCCTCTCATCTGGTGCTCCGGGATCCTTCGACTCAGAGCTTTCTGCAGTGCTTGGAAACTCAATTCTTTCTTCTCCACAGCTTTGAAGAAAATAACATCTGCGGACATCATGCAGGAGTTTCATTTGTGCTTTTGGCCGCAGTGCTCAGATACCCTCAGCAAGAAACGATAGTTAATCCCTATAATAACACATAATGGCTGTGGGTTTGTTTGTCCCAGCCAAGCGCAGCCAAGCTCAATGCGAGATCAATTCACTCTGGCCGTGGCAAACAAACAGCCTCCGTGTGTCCACAGATCATGTTGTACAATGCCTATTCACTGGGGCTGGAGACACTCCAAAGCCAGGTCTGCGGTGCTGGGTACAGGAAGGATCCCCTGAACGGTCCTGATCCAAGTGCTCCTCGACTCTGAAGCTCCAGGTGATCCCTGATGTCACAGTCCCATGAGGACGGAGATCCTGGAAAGGTGATTAGAAGAGGAATCCTGGCATGGGGATGGAGGCAGCTGTGGCACGAACCCTGCTATGTGCAGGGGGCTTGTAGACCTGGGGCCTCAACCTCCACTCCCTGCTAACTCGCCCCACCTTTCTCAAACAGAGATGTCCTGTGTGACAAAAGGTGGAGAAGAAAGCACATCGCATGCAAATCCTGTGGCCAAGAATGGTAAAGGAAGTAAGTTACTGCATGTATAGAGGTGTTCTCAAAAACGAGGTGTGCTTTATCGCAGTCAATAAAAGAGTTGCTTTGTTTAACCTTTGTTCACAAATTTGTCAGAGGAATCTGTCCTTGTTTCCTTATGGCCTTCGTTACTGGGTGAGGGTTCTGCTGGCTGACATTTGCCACACGCCGTTCAAGATGCCTGGAACACATCACTGATCCCACCCCACGTCTGTGCTTTCCTTTGTTCTCCTCTGTTCCTGGTTGTGCCCTTCACTTCAGCTTCTCCCCTGCACCGTGCAGTTTCACACCAGGACCATGCCTACAGGTGAGCTGCCACGGTTCTTTCTTTTCCTTAGGGGCACCGGGGTGCATCAGGGAGGAGGTCTGTGGAGATCTGTTTTCGCCTCTGTTTGCAGGGAGGTATTTCTTCCCTCTGTGCTCTCACATCATGCCTGTCAGTAGTGTCAGCATAACTGATAGACATGAAGTGACTGGTGCCAGTCCCACCAGCTTCTGCCAGAAATCCTGGTGCTGCAAATCTTACCTGTAAGACACTGGGGTGTGGGTTGGTGCTGTATGTGCTCCCTTGTCCTGCAAATAAGAGGTAGAAAGCTAAGCATTGCAATGAAGACTGTCCTGTTAGACTGTCCCAAGAGCTGCAAAAGAAGCAGAACCCCAGGTTTCGGGGCACAGGCTGCAGCCCTATGATCTCAGAGACCACAGCAACTGCAGAAAAGAGCGTGGGGATCAATGAGAGCAATGGGGCTGCTGCAGAGCTGGAAGACCGTGTCTCTGGTACAGAAGGGTGCACACAGCAGGATGCTGCTGCTTAAAGGGTGGAAGATGGTGTTCTGACAGAGGCTGCTGATAGTCTGGAGATTTTGACCTCCAGACTAGCCAAACAGAAAAAATATACATATGTTAAAGACTGCTAATTGGGAATGCTAAATGCAGGTTGCATCTCAGCAACAAGAATCTTATTGGCATGGGGTTACGGAGGCCACGAGGACCCTGAAATGCGGGTTGCTTTAAGGTCTTAACTTGCAGTTCTGGCTGTTGTTGGCCAGAATGGGGATGTGCATGCGTAGATAGATGAATATTTATGTGTATTTATAGTAAATAAAGCAGAAGTTTGCACACTCCTCTTTGCGCTCCCACATCCTGTATGCATTTAATATGTTTTTACTGCTGTGACGTCCAGCTAAATGGCAGCCACCAAACAGCAGCACCTGGTCCTGAGACGGCGTCAAAATCAAGATGGCTGCCACCATGTGTGTGTGTGGGGAAACGCCTTCCCGCTCAGAGGGAAAGGAGGCGTGGCTTGTCCCACCAGCCAATCACAACGTGTTGTGACCAGAAGGGGGCGGGGCTTATGAAGGAAACGTGCCCGGTGGGCGGGGCAGCGCCTCAGGGCTGCGTCCCTCAGCGCTGGGCGGTGTTATGGCGTGGGGCTGAGCGGCCGGGCGCCCCCTGCTGGTGGCGCTCCTCTGTGAAGTGAGGGGCGGCTGATGAGAAGCAGCTGTGGGTGCGGATGGAGGAAAGGCCGGGCGCCGTGGAGGGGCGGCTGTGCCCCGTGGGCGCTTGTGGGTGTGAGCACGCTGTGCGTGGTGCTGCCACAGCAGCCGCTGTGTCTGACAGGAGGAAGCTGGAGGTGAATGCGCCTCAATGCTGCGCCCGGCCCCCCTGCCCCCCCGCCGTGCTGTGCACACAGAGCCGCAGCCCTGCTGGCATCGGCATGCAGCCTCCGCTCAGCTCTCTGTCTGTGGTGTTTGCAGATCCATTCTCGGAGCTCTTGGAAGGGAGGAAGATCTCTTGGAAGAAACTCCTCACCTTCCTCCTCTTCAGCTTCATCTTCAGCTTCTGCCTCTTCGCTTCTCTTCGTCAGTTCAGGAGTCCCGAGCCAGAGGATTACAATTCCTATCTTTCCACAGAAAGATTCCAAACTGGAAATACCAGCACGCTGCCGAAGGGTGAGCGCAGGCTGACCATCCTGCTGTGGACGTGGCCCTTCGGACAACGCTTTACTTTTAGCAACTGCTCGAAGCTCTTTGACACCCCGAACTGCCACTTCACCACCGACCGCAGCTGGTCCCAAAAGGCAGATGCTGTGATTATGCATCACAGGGATGTGTATAGGGACGGAGGGAGGCTGGCCCACCTCCCCAGGCTCCCATCCCAGCGCTGGATCTGGTTCAACATGGAGTCCCCAAGTCACTCTCCAAACTTAGGTGCCATGAACCGCCTCTTCAACCTGACTATGTCGTACCGGAGAGACTCGGACATCTTCACCCCCTATGGGGAGCTGCAGCTGCTCAGCCAGCCCCAGCCCTTCAGCATCCCACCCAAGACCAAGATGGTGGCCTGGGTGGTCAGCAACTGGAGACCAAGCTCCCACCGGGTGAAGTACTACGAGGAGCTGAAGAAACACATCCCCGTGGATGTGTACGGACGGCATCACTTGCCCCTGCCCATGGACTTGCTCCTGCAAACCCTGTCCCAGTACAACTTCTACTTGGCCTTTGAGAACTCACAGCACGAGGACTACATCACCGAGAAGCTCTGGAAGAACGCCCTGTCCTCTGGCACCATCCCTGTTGTTCTGGGGCCGCCTCGAGAAAACTACGAGCGCTTCTTGCCCCCTGACTCCTTCATCCACATCGATGACTTTGCCAGCGCCGGTGAACTGGCTCAGTACCTGCAGGAACTGAGCAACGACACCGAGAGGTACCAGCGCTACTTCCAGTGGCGCAAGTGGCTGAAACCTGTGCTGAGCATCGGCTGGACCATGCAAGTCTGCAGGGCCTGTCACTTCCTGCACAGGACAGAGGCCAGCTACCACGCTGTGCCCAACCTGTCCAAGTGGTTTGTATAAAGCCTGTTTGCTCAGCTCTCTGCTGCGTTGTGATCTTTTTGTCCTCCCTGGCTGGTTGCAGGTTTGAAGGCTGATTGAATGTGATAGAGCCAGAAGGACGAGAGGAGCTTTGAAACAAGCAGTAATGAAAAAGCGTTTTGGTGTTGGGTGTGCCTTTGTCTTACTAGAGAACAGACTGCCAGGTAGAGTAGGGCATTGTATTCTGCAGTGCATTAGGTACCGACCACGTTACGCTGGCTGCAGCTCAGTCTTTGGAGAAACTCAGAGCAAAATGCTCTTTTTTTTTTTAAACCGAAAACAGTTCTGGATGGACTCCACTGATTGAAAGGCAGAAAGAAGGGGCAGAGTGGGGAAGGTGGAGAAGCAATTTATACAGTCGTAAATCTGTTCCAAGGTTTTTGTACTGTGCAAAGCTGCAGCTGAAGGGGCGGCCATGCTGTGCAGCTGCTGCTGCTGCAGGAGGAGTGGCGGCGCTCCTCCCTGCTGACCTCTCTTTGCCTCAGGCTCTGCCTTTGGGGTCCTGCATCAGGATGCTAAGCAGGCAGGAGGCTGCTGTCTGCATTTTACAAGTCTGTTTTTTGGACAGCTTAGTGAGACAGCGTGAGTCTGGGGAAGGATCTGACAGGAGCACACTGCTGTGGGTAAGGAGTGGGGTGACACGGGTGGGCCCCGAAAGGGCTGTGAAGTTTTCACAGGAGCAGCACCCTATGGCAAAGGCTGAGCAGGGCCGTGTGAGGGGCTGCCTCCTCCTGTGTGCCAGAGCATCCCACCTTCTGCCATCAGCTGATGGCCGTGCTCCTGGCCGTGCATTACAAGCACCTTGTTGTGTTTGACCTTTATTGGACTTCCTGCTGCTGTCCAGGTCACGCTGCTGGAAAGTTTACTTTCCAACCGGGGAGCCCCATTGCATGGAGATAAGGGACACAGCCCAGGCTCCCTGCTGCCACCTCCGGACATCCAGCTTGTCTTCCTGACTGCTGCTGAGCCCCGAGCGGAGGTTTCCAAAGGTCTGTTGTAGCCCCAGGATGTTTCCACGAGGAAAGTCAGCTCCAAGCCCAGCGATGCATACAGAGACACAATTGTTTTCTCCATCAGCACCGTTTAGTAAAGATTTCCAAAGAATTCCCTCTTCATTTCCTTGCGCAGTCATTCTGTGGCTGATGACCCACCAGCAAGACCTTGTCTTTAGTATTCTCAGTCTGTTCTTTCACAACCTTTGTCGCCTGTTTTTTTTTCTCTCTGCTTTGCAGGTTGGTTGAATATACCGACCATCACAAGCCTAAGAACAAATCCTTCGCTCTGAAATCTGAACTTGTATCCCTCCTCTATTTCCCATCCTTCTGATGGTACCCGTCTAGACGGGGCCTCACCAACGCTGCTTCATTTCTTGAAGGGCCTTTGCTGGATCTTAGCAAAGAAATTCACACAGAGAAACATGCCACATCTTCCTTGGCCGTGTGCTTGCTGACTGCTTCAAAGAGCAAAATATTTGTGAAGCAGCCGTCTTTATTGCCAAATATTTGTCCATCCTTCTGCTCTTGCCTTGCCTGCCTGCAGACACACTTTTCCTTTAGCTCCCGGATGCACACCGGTGTTCTTCCCATCTCTAAGCCCTTCAGGTCCTGAGCAGCTGGAGAAATGGAAGATGTTTACGCTGTTGACTGAGCCGGGATAGATGTGATTAGAGAGAAGGAATATTCCGCAGGTGAGTGGTCTCTTCCTGCCAAGGAAGGGCTGGCATGGACATGGCAATGCCAGGACAAAATCCAGCACGAGACTTCCCCTTCTCAGTGACACGGAGGCACACACAGGCTGAATTCCTTATGGGATGAGAAAGCTGACACCGCAGTTGGGAAACTCTGGAAGGGGCGACTTCATCGAAGGAAACATCTGGACGGCCGCGGGGCCTGGCGCTGGCTTTTCCCATCTGCACCCACTTGGGAAAATGCCATACGTCAGTGTGAGGGGCTCCTTCAGTCTCTCACAGAGGTGATGTGAAAACACCCTGCTCCCCCCAGACCTCCCCTGCTTTCACCCAAAGGTGATAGGAGCCAGGCGGAAATGTTCTCAGCTGATGCTATGGGGCAGAGATGGTCTGAAAAGCAAAGGGAAGAGGTTTGCTTCTCCAAAAGGAGAGCGAGAGGTTGATCCTGATGGGAAACTGGGGAAAGAATAATTTAAAAAGGTCGAGTTTTTGGAGCAGGATCTGAGCAGACAGCTGCCATCTAAGGCAGGAGGTGGTCAGCCTTCCTCGGTGCCAGCTGGCATGGCATGGCGCGGGGTTCTGTCCCTCCACTGGGACATCCCTGTCCCTTCATGGCCTGGAAAAGTGCAGTGTCCCCTCACTCCAAGTATTTCCAGTATCCTAGAAAATATCCCCATGGCCCTGCTGAGCTTCCTACCCATGGAACCTCTGTTCTGTAGGGCAGCCAGGAGAGGAGAGGAAAGGCAGAGAGTGAGAGAAACACAAATCCCCATGTAGTGCAGCACTGCAGTTGGGGATGGGAAGAGAAATGGCTGAGACAAACCAAAACCCTGAAAACACAGGAGATGGAGCCTGACAGCCCCTGCCAGGTTTGTCCTGAGTGCGTAAAGGAACCCGAACCAACCCCAAACTCTGCTTTCCAGCTTTCCCGAGCCTATGGGCAGACACACGTCCCATTTCTCAGCCGTTTCCTTTTCTACTTAAAAACATGAATACCAAACGTCGGGGCTTTACAGCTGGCACCAGCCACTGAAAATCCCCCACATCCAAGCAAGCAACACGCACCTCAGCCCCAAGAACTGGCACTCAAAATCCCTTCAGCCCAGCGCAGGAGCATGACCTGTCTGTACGCTGTCGCCTGCAAACATTATTTTCTTTCTGGACGAGTCAGAGTTTCCAAGCAGCCCTCTCCAATTTGATCATTAAAACTTCACTTTGTCTTTTTTCCTTTTTTTTTCCTTTTGCTTTTCTCTTCTATTTTTTACGGGCCGGCCGGCAGCGAGATGGCAGCTTTTGGAGCACTCGCACCCCCACGGCCCTGCGCACACGCGGGCGCAGACGGAGATTTATGAGCCTCAAAAGATGCTTCGTAAAATATTTACAGAGCAGAGCTTCGGGGGCGAGTGGTTGAGTCTGCCACGAGATGTCAGATCTCTGGGTGGCACGACGGGGGGAAGATAAACAGACCTTTTTTTCCATTCCTGAAAAACCACTGTGAACCTTTTTGGGTTCGGCGGCGTTTTCCTTTCTGCCCACGGAACGAGGCAGACACCTGGGGCCGAGGGGTGGTAAAGATGGAACGAACAAGTGCTGCTCGGATGAGTGGTTGAGGGCTGAACTTGGCTGGGATTCCGAATTGCAACATTTCCCCCAAAGCAAAATATCAACCACCATCATCATCGTCTTCATACGGTGGAGCAACAGAAGCGCAGCCAACGCTGCTGCTGACTGCGAGTTGTTTTCCCTTAAAACTTCTCTAACCTCAGCGCTGCTTCCGGATGAGCAAATGAAACACGTTTCTGGCTGACCTTATCAAAACCTCGCGTTCTCTTTCTCCCCTTCTTTCCTTTAAAAACATTTTTTCTTTTTTTTTTGGACGTGATTTTGCTAGAATTGGTTCACCCCTACGGGACGCTTCAGCTTTGAGCCAACCCAAGTGGAAGAGCCTTCACACAGAGGGGATGAGGACAATTATTTCTGTGGCCAAACCAGTACAGACTCATACGGGCAACAACCCAGCCCTGCTAATGTTTTAAATCAGTGATTTCACATCAATATATGTTTGTGATGATGGAATGACACAAACAGGGGCTGCTGGCGGACGTGCATGGAGGTTTCTGCAGGAAATGGGAAAACAAAGTCAAGCTCCATCCGCTCTTAGCCTGCAGAGCACCGCATGGACCCTCTCTGCTCTTCCAAGAGAAAACCCACATTTCCCATGCTCATCCCCACCCCACACTGGGGACGTAATGCCACTCCGCAGTGACTCGCTCAGAGGCAGCACTAAGATGAAAACCACAGGGAAATCGACACAACCACAGAGAAATCAATAGAGTTCTCCTTTTATTTTCACTTTATCATGAGTATGTAACAGCATCACACCCGAGTTTACGTTTGTTTAAAAAAAATAATATCATACTGCTTTCTTTCCCCCCTCCCCCCCCCCAACGTTTAGAATAAATGGTAAAAATGTAATAAATGTAAACTGCACTTGGCACCATTCGGATCAATAAATAAAATCTTAAAAAAAAAGAGAGAGAGAGAGAGAAAGAACGCGTTACACAGATGGCACACTATGGTATCTAAATAAATAACATAAGTTACTTCGAATAAATAGGGAGTATCTAAAATATAGATGCATTGCATCAACTTCTGCAGATGGTCGGACAGAGCCGACAATACCAGAAGGGAAATGGGGTTGCACCAAAGGTGTTGAGTAAAGACATGGGGATGTGGGGACGTGGGGATGTTGGGGACGTGGGGATGTTGAGGACATGTGGATGAGGGGATGTTGAGGATATGGGGATGTGGGGATGCTGAGGACATGGGGATGAGGGGATGTTGAGGATATGGGGATGTGGGGATGTTGGGGACATGGGGATGTGGGGATGTTGGGGACATGGGGATGTGGGGATGTTGAGGACATGGGGATGTGGGGATGTTGAGGACATGGGGATGTGGGGATGTTGGGGACATGGGGATGTGGGGATGGGGCTGCCTCCTCCCGCGCTCACCCTTCTCCTGCCCATGGCTGCCAAATCTCTCCTTTTTTTTCCCCTTTTTTTCCCTTCTTTTCTTCCTCTCGGGTCTCACCTCGGAGGTTCTGCCTTGTTTAACCAAGAACAAAACCACGTGGGTAGCCCTATTTACGAAGAGACGGTGGCTGAGGTCTCGAATACCGCCGTAAAACCATTTGTCTCGATAAACTGGGAGAAATGATTTCTTCCCAGCACAATTCTGGACCTGTTTAAATAAAGGACGCAACGTTTGCCAGTGCTTTCACCGAGTGGAAACAATGATGTTAGGCCCGTTCCCCCTCACCGATACCAAATCGGGAGTGCACCCATGTTGGCGAATGGGATCCCGACTGATGCAAGTGACAGGCGGAGCCGAACCAGAGCCAGAGCCAGAGTTACCCAAACACTGCAGGGCCATATGGGGATGTGTATAGTAAAACACAATGAAACGTCCCATAACTCATTATCAGAGAGTCGGGATAACATAACACTCATATTTTGCGCTGTCACAACCACTGGAATCGTTCTAAACATCTCGCCGTCGTTCCCAGCCCTCGTCTCCTGCCTTGGGTGATGGGCAAGCTGCAGGGTGGAAGATGCCCCCCAAAATCCCCCAAAACACCACCCGGCAGATGTTGCACACCGTTATTAGCAATCAGTAACGCATGGGGTGATGAGGAAGAGAGCCAGATGAGATTGCGCCGTGGCTTTGAGCGGGGAATTTTCCATCCTTTTGCCTTTTCTGCATTGTAGACATTCTTCCAGACAGCTCCAGCTCCTATTACAGCGGAGAGGGCTGTAGAAATGGAAAGCATTAAGGGAAAGAGCGGCGATTCTATTGGAACCACATTTCCTTGTGCAGACAGTGCGGGACAGGGCGATGCTGCCGGAACAGGAGGACGCACGTGTCCCCAAGAGGACAACCCTGAGTGACACGCACGGAAGCGACACGCAAGCAAAAGCCACGGTTGGGTGATGGCCGCGTCGGCCCTGCTCGTCCCCCGGGTGTTGTGTGGCTGCACAGTGCAGCTGCAGCCCAGATGCACTCCTCGAACCATCACACGCCGCCAACGTCAGCCACTTCCCCCGCACCTCTGCGTGGGGTGAAAAAGGAAAAGGGGGGGAAAAAAAGGAAGAGGCGTTGCAGCTATCCGCGTTGCTTTGCAACACGCCTCGCGTTGGGGGTTTCCCAGTGCTTTGGGGTGCTTTGGGGGTTGCAAAGTGCAGCAGGGTGGGTTCAGCAGCACGAGGGTGCAAAGCTGCTTCTGACCTCAGCCCTGCAAGCCCCGAAACCAATGGGTATCTCCAACACGTCTCCAAAACCCGGCACCAGGAGCAACACAACAGCTGCAAAACCTCAGCATCACCTCCGCGCTCGCGGTGACACAGGGAGCTTGGTGCTAACCCTGCTGCACTGCTCTGAGCACCTTCCTGTGCTTGGGTTTTGGTTGCTTGTTTGTTGTTTTTGTTGTTGTTTTTCGCTTGTTTAACTGGAGGCTTCTGCAACACAACTAATTTTAGTTTTATAGTAGTGAGAACTGGAACGCGCCCAAGCCCTTCAGAGCGCAGTTATTATTATTAGATTTGGGTGCGTTGTGTTGCTTTATTTGAGGGTGGAAGCAAGCTGTGGGCACAGCGTGGGTCACAAGCACAGATCGTCCTGCAGCTGCTTCTGCTTCTTTTGGGCATCACCTTTGTCACCACCACCCCAAAATCCTGCCCATGTCCCCAGTGGCCATGGTCCCAATATGGCACAGAGGTCCCCCAGCGGAGCGCTGCCATCAGAGCGTTCTCCCTCCATGCCCAGGACACGACACCAATATTCTCCTTCTGTTTATGATTTGCTTTTTCTGGGAAGAGGGCCAAGGGGAGAAAACCCATCAATCCCAGGCAACAAATTTAGCCTGCCCGGAGAATGCAAAAGTCTGCGGTCTCATTTATTTCTCCGCAGAGTAAACAAGAGTGACACTGCTGTAAATGCGAAGCGGAGCCAAAGCCCAGGCCTGAGTCCTGTCCTGCATGCGCTCCGAGCTGTGCTGCCCCATTGGGAATCCCACACACCCTTAGGACAGAGCTGGGCCGGCTCTGGGGGATCCTCACCTGCTGCAGCCCAGCCGTGCTGGTGGCCGCGTGGCTCTGTGTCACCTCCATGGCAGTGGCACGTCTCCAGCCCGGCTGCAGGCGGAGGGGCCATGGGCTTAATCCAGTTACTGCAGATTATCCTACAAAGCAGCAGCTGCAGGGAGCAAGGGGATGGGGTGTGGGGAACGGAGATGGAGCTTTTCCACGGCGTGCATGCAGCTCTGCACCCAACGTGGGGCTTTGGGGCACAGCACGGGGACCCCAGCACGGACACAGTGAAAACAGGGGATGTCAGCTCCACTTGGGGCACCTATAGCCATCCAACACCCCCTATGCCCACAACACCAGGCACCCTACGGATACACTGCACACGTTAGACCCTGCACACACATCCCTGTCACCTCTACGTGTAGCTCACAACCCCTCATCAGGTGACACATCCGTGTGACAACACCCGGTGCTCAGCCCAGTGCACAACGACACGGACAACATCTGTGCACGACACGCCACGTGCAGCACACCCTGAGTGTGTGTGTCACACCCTGAGCCCAGCGCCTGTGTCGCACAGCCATCCAGAGGGTCGGTTGATGGGAACCCACTCTGTGGGACAACACTCACACTCACACCTTCCTGTGCAGCCCCACGGTCACAGTGCACACATGTGGGCAGGGAGCAGCGCTCGGGGCCACGCGAGCGTCGCAGTCTCTCTTCCTCCCACTGGATATGTGGGGGTCCATGGGGCATCTCTCCTTCTCCCCCACGGACATGGAGGGTCCACGGGGCATCTCATCTTCTCCTCCATGGACAAAGAGGGTCCCAGTGGGCATGCGGGGTCCATGGAGAATCGCTCCTCCTCCCACCGGACATGGAGGGTCCATGCGGAATCTCTCCTCCTTCCAATGGATATGGATGGTCTGTGGGGCATCTCTCTTCCTCCCCCACAGACATGGAGGGTCCCAGTGGACATGGGGGGTCTGTGGGGCATTTATCCTCCTCCCAATGGACACGGAAGGTCCATGGGGCATCTTTCCTCTTCCCAATGGACACGGTGGGTCCACAGGTCGTCTCTCCTCCTCCAACTGGACACGGGAAGTCCACGGGGCGGGCAGCGGCGCGGGGTCCATCCCCATCCCCAGCGTAGCCTTCGCCCCCATTGGGCCACCCCCCAACCCGGCCCTTCACACACAGCCGCACTCTTTGGCCGACAGCTCGTTGACGGTGTAGTAACGGTTGTAGGCATCCAAGAAGGAGACATCATCATCATAGGAGAGCGGCCTGCAGCAGGGCCGCGCGCGCACCTTCTCCTTCCTGATCTTCTTCCGGCTGCGCACGCTCTTCAGAGAGAGGTCGTAGTTCCTGACGGCTGCGTCGCAGGTGCCGCTGCAGTAGCGGAACAACACGGTCTCATCTGACTCGTAGCCCAGGCCCAACTCGCTGACGCTCACCTCCAGCTCCTTCAGGGCGCAGGGTTTGTGGCGGGCGCGTGCCCGCTTCATGCGGTTGCCCGTTTTGGGGAAGAGGGGCAGCTCGTGGCCACCCGAGTTCATGGCCTGGCTGTAGCGTTCCACCAGCGCCGAGATGAGCTGCCGGATCTCCCCTTCCGTGTAGCTCTCCAGCAGGCTGCTGTCTGCAAGAGAAGGGGGTGGAAAGGGCAGCGTTCAGCGCCACAAAGCCAACGGCGGCCGTGAATCAGAGGTGCACAGAAACGCAGGTGTGGGGTGAGTGGGGACGGACCCCCCGCTCCCTCCCCAGCATGCATGGGTAGATGGTGGTAGGATGAGGGGAAACAGCATTAAACTAAAAGAGGGGAGATGGTTTAGGTTTGATTTGAGGAAGAAATCTTTTATGCAGAGGGTGGTGAGGTCCCAGCACTGCTGCCCAGAGCTGTGGGTGCCCCGTCTCTGGAGGTGCCTGAGGCCATGGATGGGCACTGGGCAGCCTGAGCTGGTGAGGAGCACTCAGAGCAGAGGGGTACAACTGGATGATCCTTAAGGTCCAACCCAACACTCCAACTCAATGGTTCTGTGAACTTTAAGGCTCCTTCCAATCAGCTCATTCTATGGCTCTATAATCCTTGAGGCCCCGTCCAACCCAACCCATCCTGTGACTCTATGCATGGGGCTGAGACCCCAAGATGGGTTCCCCACTGTGCAAAAATGAAGACCTGACAGATAATCCCACCTTCCTCCTCTTCCCTCCTCCTTTCTGTTTCCCTGCCCAAAGCCATGCCCTTCCTGCACATCAAGTGCATGCTTAGAAGTGGAGGAGAAAAGAAAGCATAATGAATATCTGCTGTGCTCATGGTTTCCAGCTGGCCGATGGCAGCAGTGCTGCGGGTGGGGATTGGGCAGCAGCACGATGTGGGGTGCACACAGCAGTGGGGATACGGGGGCACCAAGCAGCACACGGGAACCAACATTTCATGGTGGCATTGCCCCAGCTTGCCAACGTGCAAAAAATTTTCCAGATCCTAAATCATTTCCTAAGAGATCATACTACAGAAAAGCCACCGTGGAGTGGTGAGGAACTCCAGCAAATGTAGTATTTGGGATGTTTCCCTATTGCTTGGTTGAAAGGCTGCTCACCAGAACTGCAATGCATGCTGCACACACACAGAGTCCAACCGCAGCTGGCAGCATCCTTGTCCCCATGTCCTAACACTGAGCCCAGGCTTTGTCCAACCCAGCACTGGGGGAAGCACAGAGGAAAGCATAATTTGACAGCTTGTCATTGATTTCCAAATTTCAAACCAAGAAGTTCCTCTGGTTTGGAATAAAAGCAAACACGCCTGGGATTTCCAGCAGCTGCGAAGGCAAAGGGGCGAGCGGCGCTCCGGGGGAAGTTGCTGCAGGATGGAGCCGCTTCCCTTCGCTCTCAGCTCCTGTTTGACATTTTGCTTTTTTAAAAATAGCACGGCAATTTACAACAACAAAAAAAGGCCCTTTGGAGAAAAAAAAAAGGGGGAAAAAAAAAAAAAAAAAAGCAGCTTTTAGCATGAAGATGAGCGTGAAGGTTTGCTGCCTTTTCCGTGCGTGGTTTTCCTGGGATGCTCCCAACCCCGTGCTTTGCTAAACGCTCCCGACCCGCAGTGCAGGAGGAAGGGAGGGGTGAGGCTGAGACAAAAGCAGCCCCCGTTGGTGCTGTGGGGCTGTGGGTGCTTACACTGGGAGAGCAGAGAGCTGTGGCGTGGCAGGGCCCGGGGGGGTCTCCGCGGAGCCACCGGCAGCGAGGAAGAGGAAGAGGAGGAGGAGGATGCCCGTGAGGCCAGCGAGGAAGGCAAGGGGCTGTATGTCCGGCTTCCGTTGAACATGTCTCTACAAACTAAAATGGATAACATGGAACTGAGGAGCATCGATGCAATGGCTGCAAACTTCCATACCTTCATCTTAGAGCAAGTCAGAACATTGAAACTCTGCAAAACAGGCAAAACAAATATCCTTATTACACCGCCTTTGCCCGGGGCCACCTCTCCCACCCCTGTCCCCACGACTCAGGTTGGCCAACAGCCCCCTGCCGGGATCCGGCCCATCCTCTCTGCCCCAGCCGTGATCCGGATGGGACTGCAGTGGGGAAACTGAGGCATGGGGTGTGGGCTGAGCAGGAGAAAGGCGAAGGTGGTTCATGGATGGGCTGTCCCCAGTGGTGACAATGGGGAAGAGGGGATATTCTCGCTCCATGCAGCCCCAGCAGCAGGTGGCATGCGGGGTTTAAGCCTCCCTCTTGGTGCCTGGGTCTCCATCTTGCCCTTGCATTGGGGCTGAGACTCTGGTGGGTGGCTGTGAGTGAAGGATGGGGAAACCCACAGGGAGGGGACTCCACACTGAGCCCCACTGCTCTGTCTCTGTCAGTGATGTGCACAGAGCCCAGACTGCAATGGGGAACGGGGTTGTGCTGCACAACCTCCACCCAGATCCCTGCCCCAACAGTGCACCAACATGACCACCCCCAAACCCCAAAAAACCCAGCAAAACCACAAGAACCACCCCGCTCCATCCATCCCAGCAGCGCTGGGGACTGAAATTCAGAGCTGCAGCACCTGAAGATCTCACATCACCCCAAAACCCTGGAGCAGCCAGGATGCCCTTACCTGACAGCGCTGGGATCTGTCCATCCAGAGCAGGTTGGACCTGATGGGAGCTGATGGGTGCAGCCATTAAACCCCCATCACCGCCAGCCTTCAGAGAGCGGCGCTGACTCGCAGTCACCTCCCATCCCCTTTTTCTCATCTCAGCTCCTTGCAAACTCCAAACATTTCTCCTTTTTAAACAAATTTTCCACGGGGTGTCAGAGGTTGGGAGGGGGGTTTTGGGGGAGGGGGGTGGGGAGAGAGAGAAGGGAAAGAAAAAAAAAACAACAAAACATAGCCCGGTTTAGCAATATTTGCCAAATAGAATATACTGGGGAAAAAAAATGTTTATTTTAAAATGGAATTTAACAGATTCTCTTTTACCGTTACTGCAGAAAACAACCCTGAGAGCTGTGCAAGTGCTGCCTCATTGCCAGCAACACTTTATTTTACAGGATGCAGATAATTATGCGTTAACTAGCAGTAATTATACGCCCCGTAGGTTACAAGATAATTGTAGAACCCAGCCAGAGCCTAAATATTTTCAACTGGGCTATAAACAATGCCAAGATAGAAAAAGAATAGTTTGGCCATATAAGGAGGTAAGATCATGAAATCCCTCCGTGGTACCGGGAGGCAGCGCCGGAGCGACACGCACTGCGCGCCGCGGTGCCGCGTTGGGCTGAGCGCTGCGAGGGCCATGGTGCCCCATGAGCTGCGGTGGGGAGGGTCATCGGAAGGCATGGAGTGGGTTTGCCCCGTGGTTAATGGCGGTGTTTGAGGGGTTTCAGGCTGAGAGCAACGAGGAGAGAAAGGGGAATGCATGCTGGAAACGCTCGTGGGCATCAAATAGGTGTGGCGAAGCAATGGGGGACGGCGTTGAGGCTTTGGATGCGGTGCTGTAGGGTTGGAGCTGGGCAGGACACAGCGCGGCCAACCCCAGGGAAGGGCTTCTGGCTCGTTCTGAGCCCGTAACATTTCAGCAGGGCGGGTTCAGCCTCGCACACCCCGTACAAACGCTCCTCTTTGGGCAGCCAGCAATTGTGGCCCCCGCCCGCTCGCTGGTGACCTTTCCAAAGGCTGGATGGAACTCTGGCTCCAACGTACAAAACAATCAGAAACAAAAATGATTCATAGAATCATAGAATCATAGAACGGCCTGGGTTGCAAAGCAGCACAACGCTCATCCAGCCCCAACCCCCTGCTGTGTGCAGGTCGCCAACCAGCAGCCCAGGCTGCCCAGAGCCACATCCAGCCTGGCCTCGAATGCCTGCAGGGATGGGGCATCCACAGCCTCCTTGGGCAACCTGTGCCAGTGTGATTCCAAGCTTTGTCTTTGGTTTCTCTCACTTTAAGCCCCAGACCCCATGTGCCAACCTGTGGGAAAAGCAGAAATGCAAAGGGGGAGAAACACAGAAACACACAGCTCACGGCCACGACTCTCCCATGGCTGATTCTAAACTGTGCCCTCTGGTTTCCACCTATCCTAAACCCAACCCCAATGATAACATTTTGCCATGGCTGGATTGTCCCACGCTGCCGTGTGCTGGTGCCCAGCTACTCCTACGGGCATCATGGCTCTGCCATTCTGCACTGCCCTTTCCCCATCCCTATCCGTGAAGCCTCCACCCTCCTCCAGCAAAAATCAGTCCTCCCTGAGCTGCCCATGGGCTCAGCATCTGCTGAGTTGGGTACCACAACGCTCCTCCTTCTGGCACAAGGGACATCACGCTCTTCCCAGCCTGCCATGAGGTCCCATCTTGGTTAAGCTGCTGCTGCTCCTCCTGGGATCAACAAAAGGCCAAAGGCTGCACTTGGATTTTCTTCTGGAGAACAGCCCAAAAGCACTGCGCTCTCCCGAATTCTCCTGATAATCCATCAGTGCAGTGGTACAGATCCAGCCGCGCTGCGCCTGCTGCCAAGTGGGAAACTCAATCCTGCAGGAGGAAACCCTTCCCAGCAGCCCCACTCTGCAGGAGCCGAGCACCAAACTGAGCCCATGCTTCTCTGCATCCTCCCCAGAAGGCTCCACGTCCTGAAGAACTGGAAACCTCACAAAAAAAGATGGCCGGCAGCAGAGCCGAGGCTTATTGCTTTGCCTGGAAAGAAGCAGCCGATGATCTTGGCTCTGCCCGGCGCTGGGGTGAGCTCCCTGCCCATCTCCTATCTCAGCCCAAAGCATTGAGCCCATCCCTCGCTTCTCCATTTTCCATCACCTCCTCCATTGCTCAGCAAAATGTAGAACCGATGGAGCTTGGCTTCTAGCTGGAGGTTTCTTCGCCCCATCTCCCAAGCGCTGGAATTTCTCACGCCTTTCCCTGCTCAATGGGAGTACAGCATTCCCATCCCATGGACTCACCAACGCCCGTGGGCTGCACTGCGTTCGGGACCATGTGGGCTTCATCCACTTCTCACGCTCTCAGGTTCTCTCCTCCACTACCATTTCCAGCTGTTAAGCCCACTCACGTCGCCCTTCAGACTCCTCAATGCTGAGGCGAGGGGAGAAGCCGAGCTTCATTTTTTTACCCTTAAATCCTTCTTTATAGCAGAGAGAGGGGGAAGAGGAGACGTGCGAACGTTCCGTCCTCGGGCTTTGAAGCCTAGAAGCCAGGGCGCCCAAAAGACATTATATTGTAAGTATGTCATAAATTTTCAGTCGATTCATGCTTCCGGGCATTGATTCATTATTTTCAAGCTCTCGGCCTCGGCCACGGAGCGAGAATGGATGAGACCACGGAGTGGCCGAGGTTTTTGGCAACACGAAACACTTGGAAAGATCAAGGCCTTGACGGGACATCAGAGAGAGCTTCCACCTGCCACACTGTTTATTTTAGTGCCTTACATGGGAGCCAAGCTGCTTTGAAATCCCGGCTCCTCATGACTCACTCTGCAGGAATTAAACAATTTCCATCCCGGCTCCGTGCTGTGGCGGAGCAGCTGTGGTTCTTCCAGGCTCCTGGAGAAGCCAATGGATTGAGCAGCTCCCAGGGGTCCCAGCACCACCGGTGAGGATGGGGACAGGGCGGTGCTCAGACAGAATGTTCCTCAAATGGCCCTGAGTTGGTGAGGTCCCCTCTGGAAGCACAGCCTCCAAATGGCATCGCTGTGTCTGAGTGCTGTAGGTTGGACGTTGCGCTGAGAAGGGCTGCAGTGGGGATGCCAGTGCTGCAGGGCCAGAACAGCCCCAGGGTGGCAAAAAGCCCCGAAATGGGGAGCGTCAGAAAGAAACATGCCCCAAACCCTGATCTGAGCTTAATTAATTAGCATTAAGCAGATGCAGAGGAGAGAAAGAAAGAAGAAGTCCCGAACTCCAGCTCTATCTCAGGGTTGCTCTGTGCCAGCAGCCCCGTGGCAGACGGCAGCACCGTGCACAAAGCACACGTGGGTTTGGGGCATCTCAGTGCCCACGGAGCCATGCTGTCACCACTGCTCCCTCTCCCCTCACTCCTCCCCAGCTCTCCTCGTGCACTCTAAGTAAAACCAGAGCCCCGCACTCCACGTGGATCTGCTTTCCCAAAGTGAAAAGCAGCCCAAGGCAAGGAGCTGCAGAGCTCTCCACTTTCCCTCGTTCCTCCCACAGGGCTGGGGTCAGCCCCTCGTGCTCCACTGCTCTGTGTGCCATGGGGCTGCAGGCAGAGAGACGGGAGGGTCAGGGTGGTGAGGCTGCCTCCCTTGTCCCTACCACCACCTCTCCCAGGGGCAGTTCCTTTTATGACCTTTATCCACTGATTCCATGGGTCTAACCAGCAGCAGAAGCCACCCTTTGTGCTAAGAGGTGGGAAAGGAGAGGTAAAACTACAGGGAAATGTTTTGGGATTGCATTGCTCAGCATCAGCAGGAGCAGAGAGCGCAAATGCAAAATCACCCCTTTGAGGTGGGAGTAAACCAAGGGTGTGAAACACAACGTGATAGCAAAAGCACTGCACGGAAATGGCCCTTTGATGGTGGGCAGGAAGAGAAAACAGAGCATGGAAGCACTCCTGTCAACAACACCACCAGAGGATTCTCCCCAGAATCTTTACGTCCAACCTCAACAGGGAACACGCAGGCAAAGAGGAAATCAGAGCTAACGTGAGCCAAAAAACCACAAGTATGACAGCCCAGGCACTCATGGGTGCTGGCAGATGGTGCTTCTCCAGCCCCAAATTCCCCACTCCTGCCAAAACCTTCTCTGAACGACAGCCCTTTTGGAGCGACGAACCAACCCTTCCAACGCTAAATAACCGCACGATGCCAGAAAGAGGTGGTTTGCTGAAGGAGACTAATTGCTGTGGCTTGTTTGAACAACCCCAGTGCCTGGGGAAATAGGGTTAAAAGCTCACATTTTGGCAGCGGGGCTGAGCTCGGGCCCCAGATGTGCTTTTCTCTGGGCCAATTTCGACACCACTGGTATCCACAGAACCTCCTCCTGCTCTGAGGAAGTCACTATGGGACCCAGCGGGACCGGTGGCACAGGAGAACATTGAGGAACGTGGTCCTAAAAGCAAGCAGTGCCTCCTCCAGCCCAGCACTGGGGCATCCCTCCGTCCAGCTGTCCTTTTTCCCAAAATCTGCTGTTTTTGCACAGAAGGAGCTGGTTTGTCAAGGCGCCCGCCGGGGATTACAGTGCTTTGCTGAGGGCAGGGAGACCCGATAGAGGTTTGCAAATCCAATTTGCACTAAAGCCTTCCAGTGGGTTTTGGACGGTGCACGGGATAATATCACATTAGCATTTACCATCCGACTCCAGCAGCAGCTGCCGACATATTGAAGCACTTAGAGCTGCTCCACAGCGACCGAACGAGGAATTCCTCCTGAGACGGCGACGGCAGAGCGCTGGGAATGGAGATTTCGTGGAATCACAGAGATCCCCGAGTTGGAAAAGATCATCAAGTCCACATTCTGCCTCCGCACGTGGTCACCAAAAATTCACACTGTATTTCTGAGTGCTTCCTGAGCTTTGCTCCCCTTGTGAAGGAGGTGCAGGCTGCCATGAGGAGCTGTGGGGCATGAGGGAGCTGTAAGGCCACCATGAGGAGCTGGAGGGCCACCAGGATGGAGCTGTAGGGCATAAGGGATCTGTAGGGCCACCACAAGGAGCTGTAGGGCCACCACGATGGAGCTGTAGAGCAGCCATGAGGAGCTGTAGGGTGTAAGAGATCTGTAGGGCCAGCACGAGGAGCTGTAGGGCTACCAGGATGGAGCTGTAGGGGCACCATGATGGAGTTGTAGAGCTGCCGTGAGGAGCTGTAGGGCCGCTGTGAGAAGCTGGAGGCCAAAAGGAACCTGTGTGGCCATCAGGAAGGAGATGTAAGGCCACCACTGGGAGCTGCAGGCTGCCATGAGGAACCTGTAGGCCATAAGGGAGCTATAGGGTTGCCATGAAGAGGCTGCAGGCCACCATGAGTATTCCGTTTCCTTTTCTCTAAGCCAGACAAACCGAGGGATCTCAGCCACTCCTCATGCTCTCTGAACCCTTTGCCATCTTGTTGCCTTCCTTCAGACACTCTCTAAAAGTTCTGAGTCCTTCCTGCCCACTGGGACACATTCCCCTCCAGCTCCATTTCAGCAGCCTCAAAAGGTTCAGAGAAGGTTCAAAGCTGGGAGACGAGGAGGGCTGCAGACAATGGGGAAAATCAGGGCAGATGTGTGAAGCACAGTGGGTCAGGAGTGCCTGGTCCTTTGTGCACGGACACCATCGTGACAGCACTGGGCTCCTGTCCCCCTGGGCAAACTGCCTGCTGGGCTCAGGGCTTTCCATAGCGTTATGGAGGAGCTGAGCAGCTTCCATAAGTGCAGAGCTTTGCCCTCAAAGCCTCACCACCAGTGGTCCCAGGGTGGTGGCACTCAGATCCGTGCTGCCCAGCGCCACTTGGGATCGGATATGGCAGAAGTGTGGCCTGGGCAGGACGAGGCAAACAGCGGCCATTAGACCTTCCCCACCAACGTCCCTCCCCACAGCCACCCAGCTGCCTCACACCAATGAGCCCAACCCCAATGTCATGAGCTGCACCCCATACCTACCTCTTCCCCATGCCCCCAAGTGCTTCCAGCAGGGATGCAGCACAGCCAGCACCCTGCAGGACCCCATCCACCACTGCCCCAGGAAGCTTGTGAGATGCTTGGAGGGCTCGTGCTGCCTTGCTGCTAGCTCCTTGCTCCCCAGCTGGCTCCTTGCAGCCCTCTAAGCTGCTGTGGATGAGGGTGGACACCCGATGGGGGCATGGCCCTCATAGCAGCACAGGGCTGTGGCACTCAGCACAGGCAACGACTGCCTCTTGCCTCCTCCTGCTGCTCCACTGCTGGCACCATCCTTCCCAGATGGCTCCATAGAGCTGCTAAGCCTCAAAAATGCAGTCTTAATAAGCCTGCACCACTTAATGAAGACAGCAGCTGCCCTGTAAAACCGCAGGCAAGCCGTTCTATAGGGGACAGCCCAGAGGGACAGGCAGAATGCCTGCCCCAAGGCATGTGGGTGCACTGGTTTGTCCCCATGTCACCTGCTTTGGTCCCCTGCCCTATGCATGGGCACGACGTTCATCTGTTCTTCTGCCACAGGCAAGGCAACAGAGAGGGAAAAACTCAGGGAACTACGAAATGTCTCTGCTGGGAGCATCCCCTGGCTGCTCCTCCCTGTGCTGCTGCTACCTGGGAACCACAGTGCCACCGTGTCATAGGGATGCAGGGCCCACAGCCCCAAATAGGAGTGGGGGCTCTGCCTCATCCTGGGGTCCCTAAGCCCATCAACTCTTTAGAGGAGAGGATCAGAGAGCAACAACCACCGCAATAAATACACTGTGTGCTCCCTGCCCGGCCACAGCCAACAACAACATCATTAACGGCAAAAAGAAACCACCAAAAGCTGCACAGAAGCTGCTGCCTGCTCACAACCTGAGCACTCGCTGCTTTAGCAGCTCCACTGCTGGAGGAAGGAGGTGGGCGAGAGCAGCTCTCAGCCACGGGATGTGACCACAGAGCTGCTCCCAGCCCTGCAGTGGAGCTGCTTGCTCAGTCCATCCCCCAAATCCCAGGACTGTTTGCTCGCTTTGAGAACTGCCATTTGCTCAGTTCCTTCTGGGATGCATTTTTCCACGAGATGAGTTTGCAGATCTCTTCACTCAACCAACACTGCCTGAAAAAACAGCCAAGGTGAAATCAAGGGCTCTCCAAAGCCCCCATGGTGGCAAACTCTGCTCCAGGGCAACTCAGTGCCGGGCATCGCCCAGGAGAGCTCACAGTTATGGTCTCAGCACTGCACGTCCCCGCAGCCCAGACCCTGCAAGCTCAGCCTGGCCAACGTTCAAAGGAAACTTTGAAAAAGATGTGGTTCCATCCAAATCAAAACACTTCACGAAAAGCAGCATTGATGGCACCCGCATTCCTTGTCGGGGGGCTGACAGGCTGGCGACGCGGCCTTTGAACAGCTGCAGGAGGAAATGCTTTTTTGTCATCGTTTGAGAACAACTCAGTGGCAAATGACTGTTTCAATTTAGCTCTTTGGAGTTACAAAGTGAGACCGTTTGGGGCTTCGTGACAAAGAAGTGAACAGAGCAAAACTGCTTGTGGCATTTCCCTTCCTGGGGCAGCGGCGGAAGGGCTGGCTCCTTCCCATGCTGGGGATGCTCCTTCACACGAGAGCATCCCTGTGGCACAAACAGCAGCCAGCTTGTGTTTCTTTTCCCTTCTTCCAACTTCAGTGGGGAAGGTCTTGTCCAAATGGGCCGAATCACTGGAAGAGATGCACTGGGGGGGGGATTCCTTTGGTCTGATCTGCCAAGGATGGGGCTGGAGCAGAATGCTCGCCCAGATAAGGACATCAGCCGGCCCCAGAGCTGCATCCCTGCAGCATCTTTTGGGGATGCCAAGGGCATGGCAGAGAGCACGCAGCATCCTGATCCTGACCCCCCCACCAGAGCTGTCCCTGCGCTTAGTGAGAGCTCGGCTCCTGGCAGCAGGGCTGTGCACACGTGCCTCAGCTTGGAGCAGCATGGAAAGTGCCTGCGGCACCAGGGGAAAAAACACAGCAGTGAAACACAGCGGCCCTGAGCCACGTGCCTGGGCCATCCATCCACCCCGCAGCATCCCCCGTCAGCCGCCTCCCAGCCCCACTGGGTACCACAGGATGCTCCTCCAGGGGAGGATGCTGCCATCACCAGGCAGCCCCAAACACAGCCCTGTGTGGGATTGCCACAGGATGGGCCTCCCTGTTCAGAAAGCCGCGTGCCACCACGTCAGGCATGGGGACAGCCAAGGTGACACTGCTCTGATTATACTGCTGCATGGGCCAGGCCTGGGACCACAGGAGAGGTATTGCACATCTCAGACCATCCCCTGCATTCATTCCCTTGTAGGTAGAAGCCGACCCACAAAGCACACCCCAGAGAGGTGAGGTTGGCCCAGCAGCTCTGCCAGGGGATCCCATAGGGAGAGCAGGGAGCTGCTGAGCACCGAGCTGTGATTCACGGCTGCACCATGGGAGGGCACCCAGTGCAACCACCACCAGCCCCACTCTGCACCCACCGAGCCTCCCCCTGGAACCCAGGGGTGCTCCCAACCCCGGGGACCCCCAGTTCCAGTGCCTGCATGTCCCTGCCTGCGTCCCAATAACCTGGGCCAGCTCCTGCACCCAGCTGAGGGTGCTGCAAGGTGCTGGGTGCTCTCACCCACCCAAAATTTGCAGCCAAGCAACATGAGAGCAGCCCGCTGCTGCAAGTGCCTCTGATCCGGTGCTGTTAAAAACAAACAAACCAAACACCGTAAGACATAGAAATGAAACAAAAAGGGTTGGTTTCCCCCAGCAGTGCTCCGGTGGACACATGGGACAGCTGGCAGCCCTCCCTGTGCAGCAGGCAGGTGCCTGGTGATGTCCCTAAGGATGCTCACACCACAGCAGTGCCACATCCCAGTGTGGCATCACCAGCTCCGCTTTGTCACCTGGATTTGGTGCTGCTCTGGGGCACACCTGGGCCCCAGATAAAGCCAGAAGCTTTAAAAATCAACGGGCAAACGAGTACTTTAAAAATCAACGGACAAACGAGTGCTTAAAACCTCTGAAAGCGTCCCTTCAGGGCCCTCCCGTCCCCACCTGATTCCTCCGCTCCGCATCACGCCGCGTCTCCGCGCTTCTGCTGTTCGACTCGGCGGCGCACAGCAACGCGGGATCGGGGATTCGGGATCCACAGGTGATCCCGCTGACAGAACCGAGACTTCAACGCAGGGCCGGGACTCACCCCGAGCTCCCGACCGCCCCGACCGCCGCAACGCCCCGGCGCCGAACTGCGGGTCGGTTCCCCCGAGCAGCGATCGGATTTAAATCAGTGCCGGCCACGAGCTACCATATATGTGCAATAAAGACATCTGAGGTCTACGTTGTTTTGTTAAAGCCTTCGTACGGAGAGTGGGAAATTCCCTCCCTCGACGCCGCGCTGCCGTTGGCCTCCGATCCCCGCGGAGCTCCGGATGCCGAGGATCGGAGGGACCCGAAGAGGGCAGAGCCGGTCGGAGGTGACGGTGCGGCGGATCCTTTCCGTTTCTTAAGCTAATATTTAGACAGGACGCGTTTTCTCCCCTAACCCGAAAGCGCCGCACGACGAGCCGTGTTTGCCTTTCTGCGCTGCGGGACGCTCTCCAAGTATGAAGCAAACTCCTCCGGCAGCCCCAACGGCACCGGACGGGCGAGGGGCAGCGGGGGGCAGCCCGGTTCTGGAAGCACCGCTTCGTGGGGCGGCTCCGCTTGTTGGGCTCAGCTTGTTGGGCTCCGGGGGTGCGAGGGGACGGCGGCAGAGCCGGGACCGGGCTGGGAGCGATCCCCGGGAGTGCGGGAAGGATCCGTGCGGGATCCGTGCAGGTGCTGCGGGTTCCACGGGGGGGTTTCTTACCTGCAGGCCGGGCCGGTGCGCAGCGCTCAGCGGCTGCTCCGTGCTTGGAACGGGACACGCGTGGGACCGGGAGCCGCCATCGACGAGAAGCGGCGCGGTTCGGTTCGGTTCGCTGGTGCTGAGCCCGGCACGGCTCGGTTCGGCTGTGACACGGCTGCGGCACGGCTCGGCTCAGCACGGAGCGGGGGGGGGCTCGGCCACCGCCTCCTCCCCGCGGCGGGGGGCGGGTTTGGAGCGGGTCGGCTCCCGAGCCCCGCCCGGTCCCGCCTCCCTCCCCCCGGTCCCGGGCTGAGCTCCGGGCCGAGCTCCGGGGCCGCTCCCGCCGCCCGGTGCCGCTCCCGGTGCCGCTCCGCACCTCGCGCATCGTTTGATCTAATCCGTAATTTCTTTTCTTTTACCGCTTCTCCGTTTGCCAAAGGGAATGAGAAATAGTTGGGAGAGATGGGGGTCCTCCATCCCCCACGGAGGACGAGGGGCACGAGGAGCACTGTGACAGCCTCTGAGCCGTCAGCCCCCGGCCAGGCTGCAGCAATGCTCTAATATGGCGATTGGGGAGAAGTTATTTCTAATCATAAAGAAATCCAGGTCAGACAGACAAAGAGAGATGTCAAGGAATTGAAATCTTACCAGAAACACATCGAGTTTTAGGCAAACAGAGGCTCAAAGTGCAGCAGTCCCAAGGCCAGAGGGGACACCGGGCCCTGGCAGCTGATGGGACACGGGGTGACCTTGGGATGCTCCAGAAGAGCCAAGGACGTCCCCTCCCTTTATCTCAGCTGTTTCCTAATGGGACAAGCACTTCTCCAGCCAAATCCATGCCCGTGCGCTCACTGCAGCACTGCAGGACGGGTGGAAGCATCCCTGCTGCTCCCCTCTGACCACAGAAATCCAATTTAGCCAAAAGAAAGAAGCAAAAAAAGCGACGTTTCTTTCAGGTTTGGTGACAAACAGCTGCTCCTGCTGCTCTCTGCCCTGCCATCATTACGCTCCAGAGTTAACAGCCTCACCAGCAGCCCCCGCTTTGCTGCGCTCTCATGGCAGCCCCTCTTCACAGCCTGCAGCACCAGAGAACCCCCCCAACCCCCCTCAATGTGGGAAAGCAGCAAGATGTGCAAACAGGCACCGCAGCAGAGCCTGAGCGGCTTAATGACTTCTTTTTCCCCCCATTGTCCAGTCCTCCAGCCCCCCCAAAATGTTTGCTTTTGGAAGAAATGCGATCTGAGCGCTGGGTTGGCCGTTGTGCAACACGGAGGGCGCAGGCTGGGGCAGGCTGGGATCAGGCTGTGTGCCCACCTGAGGCACCTGGCTGAGGGCTGGGGGGATCCTGGCAGCCACCTGCATTTCCCTGAGCAAACAAACAAACAGAGACCCGGCGTTCACAGCACGGAGTGGGGGGGAGGGGGGTGAAACTGAAATCCTGTTTGCTGGGATCGCTGAGGGGAAAGCAGCAGGAGGTAAAGAAAGCGAAGCTAATTGGCTTGGCGGTTAGGTGAGTTGGCAGCCAGCAGGACGCTTGCTTTTAGGGACAGATTAAAGCCAAGCTAAGTGTCACCCTTTGCACCTGGAGGTTTCCCCTCTGCTGTTCCCCAGGTTCCAGCTCAGCCTGGTTCCAGTGCAGCATTATCAGGGGTTGGGGGTGAAGGATGCCTGACCCCTATGCTGCTCAGTGTTGGGGGTAAGCAGGGCACGTGCCTGGCATCCTCCTCTTAGCAGGAAGGAACACAGCACCGACACTCTGACTAACATGCTGGGCTCAGGATCTGTCTGAAATACATGGAGGAATGCTGAGAAGCAGCGGTGAGAATCCCCAAGCACCCAGCTGCACGTGGAGCAGCACCTCCATCGCTCCTCTCTGCCCTCACCCATCCAAGCTGAGCACTGCCTGCTGGATACTGCAGTGCCGCGTTGCAGTGTGAGCTCTGGAGATGCTGAAGAGACCAAAGAAGAGACAAATCCAGTTGGGGAGGAACACAGGTGCCCTTCGAAAGCTAACCATGCTGGGCACCACCAAAGGGGCTGCTCTTGGTGTGGGGTGCTCAGGAGGAAATGGCCATTGGAAATGGAGGGATCGGAGGTGTAGAAACTCAGCGCTCCTCTATGGTATGCTGCTTCCTTCTCCCGCCTCCCTCCTGTTTGTTTTTGCAAATATGAATACACTGAGACTGTTTTCTTTAACTCACACCATGTTTTGCCAGGGTTGACCTCTCCAAAGGGGTCTGCAGAGACCATGGTCACTGTGGTCCCCATTTCCCATGATGGTGATGGGACCCCCGGCCCCAGAAACTCCGCCTGCTACCAAATAGGAGCCCAATGGATTTGGCCCCAAGTGCTGCTTTGCCCCCCGACATAACGATGCTCCACTTTGACACGTCCAGCAGCATCCCACGATCCCTTCGTGCTCTGCAAGCAGAAGGCAGAAGCAGTCCTGCCAAAACCCCAGTAGCTGCTGAGCAAACAGCCTAATGTGAACCAGCCCTGATGGAGCGGGAGGGAACGTGCCCGAAAAAGCATTGAAGGCGTTGGGGAGCCGTAACAAAAGCACATGATGTCACAGAGGCATTGCGGAGTGATCAGGAAGCACAGCCTGGGACCATTTGCATCTTTCCTTTTAACTAACATTTTCCTAATGACGTGTGCGGCGTGCTGAGTGATATGCAGTTTCCATTCATCCTGGGGGGTTCGCTTGAGAGCCCAAATGTCATCGTGCCTGGCCCCACACCTCACCCCTTCTCCTAAATGCAAAAGAGCAAACGAAGTGCAGCAAACAACCGAGGGGCTCCCATTGAGGTCTGGGAGCCACGGTTGTTTGCCTTGGCTGCCTCCCATTGACCAGCCAAGCTGCCCTTGATCCGCGTGGGTTTATCCGGCCCCACGCTGATGCCTTGTAGGATAACAGCAGAGCCTGGAGAGTTCTTCTGCTCCTCTGGGAATTCCTGCTCGCAGCTGCACAAGCAGTCTGGAGAAGCAGCACGGTGGGCTCTGATGGGTAATGCTGCATGGTGGGCTCTGATGGGCATGCTGGCCCCGTGGAGGTGCTTGCACGGGTGGTAGGAGTGGTGGTAAGCCCAGGAGTGAGCAGTGTGGGGATGCGCCCTGGCTGTGCGTGGCCTCTGGAGAGGCACATTCAGCTGTTGCGCTTCCAAACGCCTCCCCTTGGTGCAGCCCAGCCCATCCAGTGTGAGAAGCTGTTGAGGAAATAGAATCATAGAATCGTGGTGTGGTTGGGTTGGAAAAAACTTCAAAGCCCACCCAGTCCCAACCCCCTGCCGTGGGCTGGCTGCCCCACACGAGCTCAGGCTGCTCAGGATCCATCCATGGCCTTGGGCACCTCCAAGGATGGGACACCCACTTTTTGGAGAGCTCTTGTGCTCTCAGTCAGGCGTCCTTAAAGACGTCCATCCAGCTCCGTTCCATTCCTCTGTCCCTAAGGCCAGCTTCCCATGGGATCTCAATCAACGATTCCTTAAATAGGGATGACACCACGCAACAGAACCCAGTGCAAACCTAAGGCCATCAGCTGCAGACCCAGCTGCAACGGAGTCTTGGACATCTTTCTATCTCTGCATCACTCCAAAAAGCTCTGGCTTCCCACCTGAGGTTAGCACTGCCCTGGGCTCCCGCTCACAGCCTTACCCATTGGATTCCTGGAGAGGAACCACTGGAATGGGGTGAAAAATTGGCAGCAGACAGAAAGTACGTGGTACGGAATGTCACGCTCCAAATCCACCATGAACAAGTGTCCGTAAACACCGAGGGGGAAAACCTAAGCAATTAAGTCATTTTCAATGTCAAATAGCCCACGGACCCCACATTCGGACATGACAGATGAACAAAAACATAGGCATTAAAAATTCCTGAAAACTAACAAAGGAACAATGATTAATTTCTCTCTGTTCCAGGGCAATCGCATTATATACACACAAAGGAGTCATAAAAATTCCAGGATGACGGAACAAAATCCTTACAGAGCTCCACGGATAAAATACAACCGCGTTGGAAGGAGTTGGAACGGTCCACGGAGGGAGCACAGTGGCTGCAGCTCATCATATGGAGAAATCCCTTCATCCTCCAGTCAATGATCCCACGGGGTCCCAAGAAGGGGAGAATCCATGGCGACAAAGCGTGGTGCAGCCAACGTCCCCAGCGAGCCTTGGGAAGGGAGAAAATCAAAAGCACTTCCATCCCGGAGAGGGTTTTGCTCTTCATTTATGGGGAAGATATTCCAAACCCAAACCGCAAAGCAAATATCATTAAGGGAGGCCGTGGTTTCGCTCGTTGGCTTTTTAGGGGATGTTTTTCATCAGAAACGGCTGTTTAGTCTGCAAAGGGACTCGTGGAGGTGCTGAGCAGTGCCCCTGTGCTGTGCCCTGTGCACAGCAGTGAGACGGATGGGTGCTGGGGACCATCGCTCTGCCCAGGGCAGATGTCTCTGTCGGCAGCAAGCCCAGCTCAGGGTCCCCTTGTCCCCCTGTCCCCACTGCAGGGCAGCACTCAGGGATCCCTACTGGGACATGGGAAAGTGTGAAACTTTGGTGCGTTAGGGATGGGAGAAGACATGGGGGGAAAAAAACCACATGGCAACACATGGAATGGCTCCAGCAATGGCTCCAGCAATGGCGTAACACATCGTGGCGCTGGAGCAAGAGTGGGATGGAGGGGGAGCCCTGGTGAGCTCTCGCCCATGGCCATGGGGTGTCTGTGTCCCCACGTCCCCACCCGCCGCTGGCAGCAGCCCTGCTCCCAGACTCCTGTCCCGGGGAGGTGTGCCGGGCGAGAGCCATGGCAACTCTTACACAAAGTGTCAACAAAATCAGCCAAAGAATGACTTTCTCATGAAGTCTCCGGGGAGGCAAGAGGAACTCAGGCCAGACCTGCCTGCCATAAAACAGGCTCTAAATTTTTTGCAGCGGAGGCTGAAGCAGAGCTGAGCTGTGGGTTTGCTCTGGCTCCGTTGCATCCAATGGAAGGGAATGGCTTGGGTCAATGGGAAATGTCAGTGCTTGGGGATCGGTCTTGGAGGGGGATGAGAGGGACACTTTGCATTGCCTCTGCTCGTTGTTTGGCGTACAACTTGAAAAACAATTTTCCTTTAAAATTGAATTAAAAAAAAAG